ACACACACACACACATGAATTAAGACTATTTAAGTACATGGATGCAGTGTATATTGTCCGCAGAATTCACGGCTTCCGCACCCCTCCCCCTCTCCTTCTCGCGAGGGCGCCTGCTTGCTGTCAGCACCACGGACAGAGACCCACCTAAAAGAGCTGCGTTGCCATGGCGACCTGCTCTGCTCACTGGAGTTGTGAAGGTGCCTGTAATGTAATATCCGCACGACTGCACCACTCCCTCAACTTAAGCATGCACAGCTTCCAGGCTTGGCTGTGAAAATATAACTGCAACCTTCGTTTAGCAGGGGTTTATAATAAAACAGAGAAAACATGTGGTTTGTAACACTCTGCATCACTGCTGCAGCAAGGAGGGGGTGATCGAGGTTGAAAAGGGAGGAAGTGATGCAGAATGCTGCAACACTCGTGCACGCGCACGTATATATTTAGCGTAAATCCAAAACCAATACGTGGGTAGCAAGTGGGAGGGGTGCGAGTATCTGAGGCTATATGTAGGTTACTTGCTTTTCTAATTGTTGTAAGGAGGATTGTTGTGTTCTTCTTTCTCTTACAATTCCCCACGCATTTCTATATGCACTGCGGTAGAGAGGCAAGCCTGCTGTTATTTTCAGATAAGAACAATGTGTTCCACGTGAATGGACTCTTAGCTGTACTTGCAGGTTGTTTCCATACGATGTCACTGCTCACATCTGAAATAGGCTAAAGACTGTGGGTGTGTGCTGGAAGGTCGCATGCAGTGTAAGCAGAGAGAATGTGTTCAACTTTAACAATAACATAAAAAAATAGTTAAACCCTTGTTTTACATGTCAGTCCTTTTAGAATGTTTTCCTATTGTTTGCATGGAAATTTCTTCCCCCAAAAAGATGTAGTTTGCCAGAAATCTAGAAGAGAAGAAAAGCTCAGAAATAATAATAAAATAATAATAAAATAGTTCAGCTTACTATGTATTGAGAGCAGTTAAATGCAGGGATAAGAAGAAAATCTGTTGGTTACTCCATGATGGTCAGCTGAAACGCAAGAAAGTGAAATCTGTCAAGACTTAGGACGATATTCAGGACTTACTGGGAGTAAAACTTTAAATTCTTAAGAACAATGTGTATGTGTGTGTGTGTGTGTGGGGGGGGGGGGGGGTTGCACTTCACAATGCACTTCACAATGTGCTTGTACACTTTAAAAATAAAAAGGAAATACGTGTCGGCTCATATAGTATTGTGTAAAATGCTGATGTGGGCTAATGTTTGAGCAACAATATTCGGGCTAAACTGAAAGGGATAGGTTATATAGGCACTGCAGCATCGTTACAGTGACAGCGGGTGGTGCTATCACACTACATATCACCACACTGACGGCACACTGATCTTTTCTTCTATATGTATACTCAGTAACAACCAAAGAGACGGTTTGACAGAACGACCTAGCGGACGCCCTCCTGCTAAAATTATGGCTTTCGCAGACTTCTAATCGTTATTTTTCTTCGAGGGAATTAAAATTTTCTAAATGAGCTTGTTTAAGGATTTTTTCCACCGCCAATTAAAAAGCTTTTGACAAACAATGGAGATCACGGACGTGAAAGCACGATGGAAGGATGTGTGGTTTTCCTTTTGTCTGGCCCTGCTGATTCTGACCAAATTAGAAGGAATCTCTGCTCAGATAAGGTACTCCATTCAGGAAGAATTAAAACCAGGGACAGCGGTTGGAAATGTAGCCAAAGACCTCGGACTGGATCTTGGGAGACTGGCTGATAGGAATCTTCGTGTTGTGCAAGGAACAAAGCGAGATCTGTTCGAGGTAAATCCAAGGGATGGAGTTTTGTTAGTGAACCAGAGATTAGACAGAGAGGAGCTGTGTGCAAAAACTGCTCCATGTGTCACGAATTTAAAAGCAGTTGTAGAAAATCCACTCGAAATGCACCAGGTCGTAGTTGAAATCCTCGATGTAAATGACAATTCGCCGAAATTTCCTGAGGAAAATTACACACTGGATGTGTTGGAGTCTGCCTTAGTTGGGTCTCGATTTCAGCTGGAAGGAGCACACGATTTAGATGTGGGTTTGAATTCATTACATTCATATAAGCTAAATTCGTACCAGTATTTTCGTTTGGAAACAGAGGAATTTGGGGATGACGGGAAGGTTCCTTTCCTAGTATTACAAAGACCTTTGGATAGAGAACATACAGCTCAGCATTGGTTACTATTAACAGCTACAGATGGAGGAAAACCATCAAAATCTGGAAATATGAATGTTACTGTTATTGTATCTGACATTAATGACAACCCACCAGTGTGTGAAAAACAAAAGTACACAGTAACAATAAAGGAAAATGCACCTGCTGGAACATTTTTGCTGACGGTAAATGCATCTGACTCAGACGAAGGGCTGAACGGTGAGATTGAATATTCTTTAAAGCGTAAACTTAGAGGACTCTCGTCCGATCCGTTTGATTTGGATAGTAAAACTGGAAAACTAGCTGTGAAAGGACGCCTGGACTACGAGGAAACGCAGGTTTACGAGATTAAAGTACTGGCTGCGGACAAAGGTGTTGTGGCTCTGTCCACACTCTGCAGTGTAGTTATTAGAGTGGAAGATGTGAATGATAACCCACCAGAAATAGAAATCACATCTTTTTCGAGTCGCATTCCAGAAGATGCGCCCCCTGGAACCGTGGTGGCATTGATGGGTGTGACGGATCTTGACTCAGGTGTGAACGGACAGGTGGTTTGCAGCGTGCCCCTTCATTTACCTTTTGATTTGAAGCCCTCCCCTGACGGTCAGTCATACTCTTTGGTTACTAAAGATTACCTGGATAAGGAAACCACGCATATGTATACCATTACAGTAACAGCTAAGGATTTAGGAAGCCCAACTCTGTCATCAACGAAGGTATTACAGGTAGAGGTGCAAGATGTTAACGATAACAGGCCTCTTTTCACTGAAAGCCCGTATACCTTTTATGTACTTGAAAATAACAAGGCAGGAATGTCCATTTTCTCAGTCAGTGC